GGTGGGCCTAAGCGGTCTGATGAAACAATCTGTGGAGTGTCATCGCTCCGAAAGTTTGAAAAGGTATCTAACGGACAAAGAAAGACAATACCATGAGTTTTGGTAAAGACGATGTGGACGTCCAGAATCACACACCTTGGACTATTAGAGGATGCTCTCGTCAGTTTCTGGCTACAGCGTTGACGTGTTATATCTTTCAGATCGACAGAGAAGTTCATTCACAGAAGCGTGGTTTGGCCATGGGACAAAATTGCACCTCTACTGGCCGTCGTCTTCAGATCGCATTGATAGAAGATCTTTGATCGACGGAATCGTATCCTACAGGTGACACATATATGACGGTTTTGATCGGCTGCACCTTCGCAATGCAATGCAATGTTTTAAAATCTGAATTTGTGTGGCCTGTTTATACGTTTCACGGTAGAGTTCACAGTTGAGAGTATTGAACCATATCACCAAAGAGTAAGTATGGTGTAAAAATCCCATGCCCCAGAATGTCGTTCTGCACCCTCGTAGTACTCATCCTCCAACTTTGGAAGCAGGCATGAGACGGAACCTCACTACGAAAGAAACGAGGATTTGCACTCAAGAGTCAACGGAAGAACAACGGAGTATTTTCAGACTGGACCTGAAAATTATGCGAACCACGATTTCTTCGTTACTGAAGGAGTCTCACTGATACTACTACCGCAGGTCGAGTGCATTGCAAAGAATGACCCGGAACATGAAATCAGCGAACCTTGCTGATAATACAACTACTTTTTCGCCCATCAATGAACAACAAACGCTTGCTAACATTATCAAGGCTCCGCAAAGATAAACGTGGCTGGCACAACTGTTTGAGCCGCCCGAATGACAAGATCTGTCGGTTACAAGTAACCGTACACTTTTCCACATGTGAGGGGCGATCGGAAATATGTTGGAGAACCACGAGACCGCTGTACAGAAGGATTGATGGGAATACGCTAGCATTGCAGAACCTCTCGTCCTTCCCAGACAGCGGTCTTTTATGACATCGTACACTTTATCACATTCGATAAGCACCTCCTACCATGAGTATCACTGTTCTTCACCGCACAAAGCAAGCTCTTTTGGAAAACAAGTTATAGGAGACACTCACTATCAAGCGACTGCCTACGGGGCACGCACTCAGTGCATTTCAAGTCAGAAGAACTTCGTTCTCACTCCTCTGATGCCTCCCATGAACTCAAGTTGGTATCAATTTTTAGAGAAACGGCGCATGAAATGGCATCCAATCTTGCTCTGATGTCCTGGATTTCGCAAAGAAGGACTTTAAATTGGAGCACAAGTTGAGTCGAAACAATTCTGCTTTGAGCTGCCTTGTGTTCAGTATCATATCAAAAGGGGTCTTCAACTCATTAAACCTGTTCTTGTTATTCTGCGGGAACCATCACTAAATGGCTGATGAGCCCCTCACTGGCATTTCTCCAGTTGCTCTTCGTATTCGAGACTTGCCTCCGTATCCAACATGGGGTACACACTCGATAAATGAGGCTCATTACGGAATCAAGCCACCGTATGATAGCATCTTTGCTTTTCACTCAGCTCGTCCTACTGGCTAGAAGTGAGGCATTTAAATACGTGTGAACCTTCCCTTTAATGTGCGTATTAGCAATGAATACAAAGAAGTGCACTCATACCAACTTCAGCTCATAAACGACGAATTGGCAGAGCTGAGCTTCAGCGCTTCTTTCACCTCTTCAAGATAGCTTTTGGAGTCACAGAAGCAAGCCTTTCAGGTTGAGGCCTCTTGGTGCTGGTGTATAGGCAATCACGTTTCGTAATGGTGGTCCGCTGAAGCTTATGGGGTCAGTAATTGCCCTGTAAAGTAAAACGGTCAAGAGCTACTCATTGCAAAATAGTGATTGTTCCTCAAGGAGTTAGAGGTTGCGCGTCTCGACATTGAATTTTTTTTATGACAAAATAAAAGCGAATTA